AAAAAGAAATAAAACGTAAGAGGGAGTCCATCAACGGATAATCACAAGACAGGAATTTGGCATTATGGTTAGTAGACTGGAGCCAAATTGACTAGAAATCCACTTAAGGTCCAGCAAGAAAATAGAAATAAACTATCGTAATTTGCTCCGGATACACGAGTTTAATCAGAGATGGGCCATGGAGATAATGTTCGATATCTGAAGGCTTAGGAATGAGATTCTAGGCGCTAAGCTCAATGAGATCAAAGTATGAGCGCTACTAAATGCTTGTGGCAGACCATAAAAATAGCGCCAAAAGGTATATTATAAATGTAACCGAGTTATATCAGTTAACCAGAAAGATAAGAAATTAATTACTGAGCATGACGGAGATTCGGATAGGAAGTCAAAATCGGATGAGAAATTCTGGCAAACCAAGATAGAGGTGCGATATCGCCCCACTAAACTCGTCGAAAAGAGCAAGAAATAGAATACAAGCAATTAATAAGTTGTAATAGAGTGATGAATATAAAATTCATGCTCTCAAATTAACATGGCCGGTTCAAATGCAAATTTTCCGTGGGAAAAACCTAACTGACATGAATTAATAAAATTGAACCCACACATGCAAGAAAGCATGTCCAGTAAGTAGGCATCTGATTTACCATTGCGCTGGGGGAGGTTTACAACATAGTTATTGTCCAGAATTACGATTTATGGGACGTAGAGGTCATCATCGACTAAATGAGAAAAATGAGACAAATATGGCTTAGGCTATTCAAAAAAACTCGAAAGTACTTTAATAAAAAAAGGATTAATCAAAATAATAAAGCTGATTGACGAAACTTGAGGCGCTGTAAACATTGTAAGCAAAGGGAGAAAAGAGACGAAAGGCAGCCCAGCGTCGTTGGCACAAGTGGTTTGAGTACAGAAAGCAAGGAATAACATCAAAAAGTAATATTAACTGCCAGTGGACACAGCCATAAATCGCACAATTACTAAATTTATGGGGTTCCGGTTGAATAATGTCATTGCTACATCAAATAATATAACGACACATAGAAGGTAAGTTTTTAAAAGATAAAGACAAGTTTGAAGATACCAATACGTTCGGCGCAGAATTAGAACTAGTCACTTATGAAAAGAATAATAGCCCTATACGCCATGCCTACATTACTTTCCTCGGCTGATAGTTCTACCTTCACAACGTCTACTGGGAGCTCCACGACCTTGATTGTCTTGTGACTGTGTAGATTGTGGATTACTACCACTAATTCGTCCAGAATAAAAGTTGGATCGCGAGAGATCACCTCGACCAATGCGATTATTGTAGCTTCTCCTGGCTCCACCTCTGTTTATCGAGGCTGTATTGGTAGCCGATATTTCGGTCTCAGCAGTGGAATCATGTAGGTAAAGTATAAGATAAGGCGTTCTTGGCTGGCAAGAAATATCAGTGTTGCATGGAAACATGCCGGCCTCAGTCTCGTCATCTAATGATAAAGAAAAAATAAAAGCCATCAAATTCTCAAACAGACTGGTAAATTCTGATAAAGTATTTGAGCAATAAGAAGACAAAACCAGTTGTGAACAGTACTTTTATCATCCAGAGCTGATTTATTAGCATCACAACTGCTTGTAATCCGGGAGTTGGGAAGGCCAGGACTTCCAAACAGACCAGTAACCACATTAAGCGGGTCGTGTGTAGCCAGTAATTGTGTAATACCTTGCCGACCTCGAATTAAACAAGCATTGCGGTCATCAAAGTAAAGGAACGCAGATGGCGCTTCTACCTGCCCTCGGCGTAAATTTTGGCTGTCGACGATTGACTGATCATCAAGTCTACTGAGTGGAGGCCAGCTCACAGCGCAAGTATAATGGCCGTTAGCCGCGTTGTGCCCAATATGAAAGATCACACCGCCCAAACGATAGCTCCTCTCAGCAGCGCTGAGACGCAGCTCGTCACTGATGATTTCTGTAGAATAAATTAATGCAATATTAGTAAACCTATAAAAAAGTTATATGATCAATGGATGTTGGTGTGACAAATATGTAAGGAAAACTGGCCATCCAAAGTGGGAGGGTAGAATGCACCAAAAAGACAAGAGGCCAAGAATAGACCACTGAACTCAAATATAGGTGGTACTCAGAGTTGTGATTCGACGATCGATTTCGAGAGAAAAATTGGTTAGAAGAAATTCGTGAATTGATCTAACCAGAAACCGAAGCAGGATTGCCTCTGACTGTCAAATTGTGCGAAGTTCACAGGTTCAGTCCTGGGTCTCCTGGAACCAGTCCAGAAAGAAGGTTCGAATATTTTAGAAAATAAGGCATGTTTAAAGGAAGCGTTAGTTTTTGAGGCTCCATTTCCTCATCAGGTCACAACTTTTTCGCAAGTTGCCAACAAAATTAGGAACCGAGTAAAATAATCTATGTCTAGCCCGCTATAAATAACAATCTGCACTAATTAGGTTACTTCGAATTGAAACATAATTATCCATTAAGTTAAATGGGTAAATGATTTTAAATAATAAATTCCTCAATCTACGGATTTCTGGATATCTGTATTTACGTCTGCCAGACAGACTTCTTATTATCAGCGATTTCATAATTCCTACTTTGACCATATATACATTTTCAGAAAAGAATGCAACAAGGAAACCCAAGTATATAGCTTCATATACATGTTTCTATACAACTTGGTCACATTGGTAGGAATACTTAGAGGAACGCACCTAGTCCGGAGTCCATTGTCTGCATGATCATTTCCAAAGTTGAACAGTGAACGTGGTACATTCCCAAACGTTTCGTTGGCATCGTCAGTGAGTCTCGCAATTCTTAGCACCACATAACAACTCGTCAAAGAGACAAGTGAAGCCGATCCTTTGACCAAAGGTGTGCTAAACAATTGTGGTATCTCCCCTTCTGACCTGGGTTATTTGCGTTTCCGGTATCATCCTATCATAACTTCACTATTAAAATTTTTACCGTGTTTATTTAGATATAGTGTAGTGTGCTCCTTTGAGCGACATGAAACCTTCACACTCTAACTGTCGATCTCACCCCCCCTTTCATCCTTGTGCAGGGAATGTTGATCAGAGTCTGCTTTATTATTATACAGTCCTCTTTTCTAGTCTTATCCCAGTCTCTCTCTTGCTCCATATAATCCGTCTTCTCTACCCCTGGTTCGTGTATTTCAATCGACCCCTGCCACCCCATCTGTGCTAGTCAAAGAGTTATTCACCCTTCCCTGAGTCTGGGTGACTAATTCGAGGCTAAAGCCTTTGAGTAATTCTCATGGTCACCCTTTTGCTACATGTACAATGTCTCTGGTACAACAGACACACTGTCAGCCAACTAGCTCCAGTCTTCGCAACGGCTATCATGTTTATCTACCTAATACCAAGTCTATGACTTCCAATGCCCTACTCTCTTGTGTGTCAACCCGCAAATGTGGTGGTAGTGCTGGCTTTGATTAGGTTCAATGTTGAACCACAACGTTTATGGGTTGGCACACAAGAGACTAGGGCATAGGAAGTCATAGACTTTGTATGATAGATAGAAATAGGATAGAAGCTAAAATTAAGGATATTACCTTGATCCAGTCGTCTTCTTTTTGCTGATCTTACTGTTGCCTGGTCTTCTCCGAGTTTGTTTAGGAAATATGCAAAGCTTTCGCTGATCTTGCCTTCTTCAAGTATTCTGTTTATTAGATTTATCTCGATCAGTATATCAATGGTCTCTCGGATCTTGCGTTTTCTCGTATTTTCACCATATGCAGCCAACCTTTCGGTCGATTTCATGTCCGGTTCGTGCAATGTGTTCCGCTATTTCGGATCTTTTCTTATCCATGTTCCTGCAGAGTCTTTGATATTCCTTAAATCGTAGGCCGATTTTTTTCTTATTTCACCGATATACTTCTGCTCACAGTTGCCGGATTTGATGCGATAAACTTCGAGCGAATCGAGTTCGTTAGTCTTATCGTTTTTCGTCGGTAGACTGATGAAAAGTGTTGTCTTTGCCCTTGTTATCCCCTAGATATTCCATTTGCTTAGTGACGGTCGCAATTGTTGACTCCGTTCTGATGAGGACAGGCAAATCCACTTCTGGTCGTTCTCCTGATTGCTGATCTGATTTTCATAAAATTCGAGTTGAAATTTGCCCTTTATAGTCCCTACATTTTTAAAAATAAATTCTTCGGGTTATCCATTAATAAGGCAAATCCTTGTCAGTTTGTCCAACTCCTCGACCCAGAACTCATTGTCCCTTAGTCGTAAGCTTCTGGTGATCAAACTCCTCAGTATTCCGATTTTTAGCCTGTAGTTATGATGAGACTGAAAATTAAGATATGAAGACCAAGATGCTGTGGCCTCTGGTATGATCGCAGTCTCCTTTCGATTTATAGAAGTGGGTTGACCTCGTCGCAACTTGGTCTTGTTGTCAGGGTGATTTAGTAGAACGCATCCAGTCTGAAGTCGTCTCGTCTGCTATAGTAGTTGTCATGATTCCCAGCATCAGACAGTGGACTTGGTACATTGTCAAACGTTTCGCCGACATCATCAGTGAGTTTCTCCATTCTCTGCACCTTCACTTGTCTCTTTGACGAGTTCGTAGCTTCGTGCTGAGAATGTCAAAGCTCACTGATGATGCCGGCGAAACGTTTGGGAATGTACCAAGTCCACTGTCTGATGCTGGGAATCATGACAACTATTACGGCAGACGACTTCGGACTATGTGCGTTCTAAAGTCGCCCTGACAACAAGACCAGGTTGCGACGAGGTCAACCCACTTCTTAAAATTAAGGATTATTT